TCCGCCTGGAATTAGAACTCGCTTCTCCGATTAACAATTACTATCCATTATCCATTAAACCACCCGTACATCCAAGTATGAAGCACTTGGTATTCCCAAGCGGTCACTCACTCTAGATACTGACCCGGCTTGATGTTGCTTGACTTTGCTGACAATACGGAAAACTGGTGTTTCAACGTGATTTCAGGCAAGCAAATCATTATTCAATTGTTCAACCAAGTATGACTCTAAATTGTTATGATACTTTCAAAATATTGTGGTTTAACTAACATATGTCTCTAAGTGATGCGTTTATAATGATCTGACTCAAAGGTCATACTTTAAAAAGACTCTTCTTTAATCAAAGTGTTACACGAGGCTGTTCAGGTTCAGATTATAAAATTATACTGGTTTAACTACTTTATGGCTCAGAAATCATTTAGTGCCATGCATTTTTAAAAAAACTCGAAACTGTATAGGAAGACGTTTTGAAAAGAAATATACCACTATATCAGATCAAAAATCCATTACGTACCTTCGTAAAGAAAAACTGGAAGAAAGGACTATCAATTGCAAGAAAAGAGAATCTATGATTGTCAACAAAAGTATTGACACAATATGCAAGCTATGAACTGAAGATGTTAAAATCAAGCAAGTACAAATATTTAAATATATGGAATATTTTATAACAGATGACGGCAAGTGTGACACTGAAATTTAAAGGCGCACTAGATTAGCAAAAACTTCTGTGATGTCAACGAACACTCTTTGCCGCTTTTCTGATGTCAACGAATACTCATTATCACTTTCGAAGTGCTCGTTGTAGTAGAGATTTTGTAATCGCAGATACAATTGTATTAACGCCGTTGAACAATACTGGTGTCAGACGCCTTCGAATAACACTCGCACTCATAGTACTTGCTCAATAATACTCGCTGGAAGTAACCACCGAATAGTAATCAGTGATCAGTGATCAGTATAGAGAATAGTGTAGAGAAGAGAATAGCGATCCGTATAGTAATAGAGGATAGACTAGAAATGGTGATCAATTTGACGCCATGCTAATTCCCATATTTGCGTTTTCTCTATGGTCACGTGATCTGCTTAATTCAAAATGGGATCGCCTTTGTTTGCTCTTTGGCGATCTATGGTCAAACCTATGTGTCGGCAGCGACACTTTATTCCTATATAACAAAAATTAAAGATACAGGAAAATTTGATTGATTGATTAGGTTGGTTCGTTTCCTACGGTTTGTCATCCTTTTACAGAAAATATTTTTAGATTGCAAGAATTTTTTTTTTTTTAGATAATAATCGTTTAGTTATACAAGTCTTACTAATTAACCCATAGCTGGAGGGAGAAGAAGTGGAGTCATACCTTTCCCAGGGGTTTTTGCTCGTAAGTGAGTATAATGAATCTAACAGGAATTGGTTCTCCGATTAACAATTCCGAGCCATTATCCATTACTAGCAGCATGGCCCGGAGTTGCCCGTGCTTGATTCAAAAATCGTACGACTCATACAGAAATCGCTATCACCTGACTTAAAATATTTTTGCCCTTCCTTGCCTTTAAAGGAGTGCCCTTTGCCGTGATGATGTTGCTACATGCCTTACTTCTTGCTCACACTGCGAATTTTTTCTAAGCTCTATACTAAACATTAAATCTGTTACGAAAAAAGAACTAAACAAAATGAATACAAAACAATCAGCTTTAAAAAAGGACTCGTAACTGGAAAAACCAAATGAAAAAAGAATGTTAACAACAAATACTTTTTCACACCCAACCCAGTTCTGCGGAATTAGAATCAACGTTGAGCTTAAGCAAGCGAATGAGCCAATTGGAATAAAGTGTCATGCAGATTTAAATTTTCCCCACTTGTGACGAATGCAGCTATCGATTTTTTTTTTGCATGCTAGTTAACATTCGTGTCAGTCAGCTGTTGGCCCTCACGCTGGCCAATAGAATCTTCCTGCCTATTCGTGGCAGCCAGTTATAGGCTCTCACTCTGGCCAGTACAAAATGACCGCAAACTACATGAAAACTGCCATAGAAGCATGAAAAAATTGATTATTTCCACTATCGATGGGAGTTGGGAAATGCAAAGTCAGTCTTGGCCTTCTTAACTTGGAGCATGTGCATGTAAATTTTGGTGCAAATCCGTCGAAAATTGCGGCCGAGCATTCGTTACACACACACACACACACACACACATCCTGTATTTTATAGATAGAGATGAGTCGATAATGATCTGACTTAAAGGTGTTATAATTTGAAAAGGTTTTGTTTCAATCAAAGTCTTACTAGAAGCTGTTCTGGATCACATTAGGAAATTATCCTGGTTTAAGTACTTCATGACTCGAAAGCATTTAACGCCATGCATTTAAAAGACGTTGATTAGAAATTATATAGGAACACCTTTTGAAAAGAATTATACCACAATATCAGATCAAAAATCCATTTTTATAAGTTTTTCTAACTCTTTGATGCTGAGATGTCCAAGTTATCCTTATACTAACTCAAGCCATTGCATTTATATTAAGATGTTTGCAACGTTTATATTAAGATGTTTGCGACTTTATTATGTATTACCTGAAAGATTAGCGTTTAGCATAGCGATGTGATTGTATTGGCAAATGAAAGAACTCATTTGACAAAGGGCATTCCCAACTTGAGAACTTGAAGCAGGAAATTAATTCTAGTCATCCACGCCATAGCTGTGAACCAATGACAAAGAGGCTCAAATCAAGACACAGCTTTTTACAATCAGCCGAATCACTAAC